TTTATTAACGCCTAAGTTAACTTAAAATGTTGAAACCTGCTGAGAAAACAAGTTCACTTTTATTATCCTGGTGCCTGCAGTTTGGATTACGTACATGAAAACCTCCTTCCAGCCGCCACGGCAAACCGCGAGGAGGCAACCGGGCCAAAGGCTGCTGTTGAATGGGATTGCTACTGACAGCGCACCGCCGTTATGTGGGGGTCTGAGCAGCTCCCACAGAAATAATATTGGAAGGCAGGATGGTAATCTGGATGAACTGACTGCAGTGATTAAGTTTTTATTAAGGTGGATTTTCCCACTTAAAAACATTAAAACTTTCTTATTCCCACTGAACACAGCAAATATAGCTGCAAGGCAAATAAAGGAGAGGGTAGCCCCGCCCAACGTGCGTCAGATCCACTTTTTGTACAGCGCAGCTGGAGCAGCTTTGCTGCTCCAGTAGTAGAGCTAAACTGGTACAAGCAGCAAAAAGGAAGCAGCAGACGCGTTTTTGCTGCTCCTGCTGCGTTTGGTGTGAACGCAGCTCTAGCGTGTCTAATGACAAATTAAGTTTTACCTGATCGATAAAGAAACTGAAAAAATATGTTACTGGTGAACAAAGTAACTGTTAGACCATGATATAAAGGAGGAGAGCTGGGTAGCGCTGTGGCTAGCAGTAGCTAACAGGTTAGCCTCTTTTAGCTCGCTCAGTTAGCCATATTAAGCTACACTACTTTTAACTTCTTTTCAACAACAACCGTCATTTTCTACAAGTAGAATAACCGTTTTCTTTGTCTAAAATCTCTACAAAGATCAATTTTAGATATTCCATCCATCCTCTTAGCTACACTCCGATCTTAATAAAAAGAGGAAAAAGAGCCCTGAGACTTTTTGTTTCTCCTTGTTAATAAACCCTACCTAATTTGAAGTAATTGTCGCATATTTTGCATACCCAAATGGGAAAGCAGATAACTGAAGAACTGTGAGCCCAAAATTTCATGTGTGATACATCGTTTGATTCTGAATACATAAAACTAAAACACACCCTAAACTGCATCAGTTCAAACATAACTACGTGTTTTTTTTCCTTCTCAAAAAANAAGCTACTATGCCATCTACCAGAACATTCTAGAGCCCTCCTGATAGTTTGATAATCCAGCAGGACCTGGTATCGACCCAACAGCTGCTCCAATGACCCTGTTGGATGTGGTTTTGAGACTGAATCTCAGGGGGAACCTATGGGTTCTCTATAGAACCCGACCAGAACCACAAGTGGACGGCCTCTAAGGACTCCTAATGGACCGCTGTAGGTACCAGATCTGCTGGGTCCTGCTTCATTGCAGTGACGTCACACTACATGCTTGGCTGAACATTGCCACATGATGTAAAACATTGTTGTTGCCCAGACAACGATAATAACATCACGCAGCGTCAGTGTGCCGAGTCTATAGCATCTGTAGCGCTATGCTTGGTTCACACCGAACGCAGCAGGAGCAGCTAGTTTACATGCAAAGTCAATGGTTGACGCGCGTCAAGGCGCAGCAAAATGTCCCGCAGCGCTGTTTGAGCAGCAGGCGCAGCGCGTCGGGAGTGTTTAAGCATGTGACGCGCCTAATGAGCCGCATACGGGCTGTTGCTCGAGATGGAAAAATTTTACTTTTGCTGCTCGATGCGCCGCATCAACCAATCAGAGACGCTGATCTAGGAGCTGGCAGGGAGACGGACACAGCACTGCTGATGCAGAGCGCCATGATCACTCCTCTGAAACTGTTTATTAACGCCTAAGTTAACTTAAAATGTTGAAACCTGCTGAGAAAACAAGTTCACTTTTATTATCCTGGTGCCTGCAGTTTGGATTACGTACA